CTTAATCACCTCTTGATCTCTAAACAAGGTGTCATTCATCCTCCATCGGAAGGAACCAGTAGGTGTTAACTTCATCTCCATTCTCACGGCGTTATGGTCGGAGCATGTTTTTGGGCAGATCTCTACCTTCTTAACCTTGGGTGCCAGTCCTCTAGTAGTCCAGATTTGGTCAATTCTTGTCCATGTCTTCTGGGCTTCAGAAAAAAAGGTTCCTTCTCTATCAAGGGGGTTCTTAGTTCTCCAAATGTCAATCAAATCCATATTGTCAGTTAGTTCAAAAATGTTTTCGGTAGTCTACCATCTTTAGTAACTACCTCTCTTTGTGACTTGTCCATATTTGTAGAAACCACCCCATTCATATCTCCCATGAAAACAGTATTATAGTCCATATAGTCCATCAAGGTCTCATGCAACTTTTTGTAGAATATAGATTTCCCCTCATTTGGTGCATATACACCTACTATCAAAAATTTTTCTCCTTGTACTTGAATTTCAATTGCTATGAATCTTCCTTGTTCATCCTTAAAAACAAATTTTGGTGAGAGGCTCTCCTTTGCGTAAATTACCACTCCTCGTTTTTTTAACTTTGTCTGATGAGATAAATTCTTGGCCCAGTCTCTTATTAATCAATATTTTCCTATGGAGCCTCGTCACATGGGTTTCCTGTAAGCAGATTAAGTCCAATTGTTCTTTTTTAAGTATATGAAATACTTTCCTTCTTTTTTCCGGAGAATTCAGACCACAAACATTCCAAGTTAAAAGTTGCAGAGCCATGATGATTTCTTTATTTCCCTCCAACTGCTCCCAATAACTCTTCTTCCTCTGTTGGTGGTTTCGGCTTCTCTGTCTTATCCTCTCCCAACGGTGGTAATGTAAGATCCAATCCTGTTAAAGGGGCTTCTGGCTCCAATCCTTTTTGTAGGTCCTCTTGGTAGTCTCTCAAAAGTTCTGTTTCTCCTCCACAGATTTAATTTTAATTTTTTGCCTCTAAAACTGAAAGATAGGCCTTGAGGGAACTCCCACCTGAAAAAATTCTGTTTCCTCTCAGCAACGTCACCAGGTCTCGATAGTTAGACCTAAGCTCCAAAAGAAGCTTTGGAATGTCTTTAAATATTTCTATCCTTGAGTCTTGTATTGTCAGTGTATTTTGATAATGTAAGCTCAAAATTTTATCTCGTTCCTCTTTTGATCGCAGGGTAATCAGGCAGTCTCTCACTCTATTTTTCCTTGCTCTTCTTCCGAGCCTAAAAGCAGACGTTATCTTGAAATCTTCCTTATCATTCAATTGCCAAAAGTTGGCAAATTCTTGCGTCAGAAAGTCTGCCAGGCTCTCTTTTTCAATCTCAGGTACTGCTCTGATCCTTAAGTTGGTCTGTTTCTCCTTTAACTCAAGAAGAGATAACAATTCCTGGTGCGTTCCCAATCTTATGTGGTGCTCTTGAACTTGTTTAATTAAAGGTGGTAGTTTTTCTTCAGCAGCTACCGCCTTTTCTCTGGCTTCCAAAGCTGTTTTTGAGTTTCAGCAGATTGTTCCAGTAGTTTTTTAATCACATCTGTATTTTCATTAGTCTGTCGGGTCAACTTGTCAATACTTGCAGAATTTTGTCTAATAGCTTCTAGAGCCTCGGCATTTTGTTGACCCAATTTTTCAAAACCTTCGTTCACAATTTTAAATAAACTGGCCAATCCTTCTTCCTCTCCTTGTGGTCCAGCGATGGATTGCCTACGCTGTTGCTGTTGTGGGATGTTGCTCTGCTGCCTGCCTTTCCCAGACCTCAGATCTCTTCCTTCCATGGCACTTTATCTAAAAGTCAAGGTCGCTCTCACAGTCAAAATTGTTTTGTTATTATACTTTCCCAGGCTGCTGTTAGGTGGAAAATTCCTCAGTCAATTAAAGACTTTTTCCCCTTTGGCCTCCAGGGGGACACAAATAATAAAGTATCAAGAATGAAAACTCTCAAACAGCCAAAGAGGCAACTTTTTCCCAAACTTTTTCCCAAAGTTTCAATTTTGTAAAGTTAAAAGGCAAAAAGATACATTGTCCATTTAGAGTGCTAACAAAGTGTCCAATCTTTCCAAAACCTGGCAGTCTGTCCCCAGGGATTGAGAGGTGGTCTTTTATTTCCTTATTTGCTCTTTAAATTACTCAAAAATAACAGAGAATAACAAGAAATACTATCTCTTCTTCCCCCCCCAATCCAATTGTGGGAGGGAAACTTTTAAATTAGAAGTCTGTGCTTCAGTCTCTTTTGGCAGTCGTTGGTATCGATCTCGCACAGTCTTTGCTTTATTCTTTATACAGACCGGGAGGTGGACTTCCTTTTTACACCGTTCCCGCTTCAGCCAAATTAGTTCAGAACTTTTTGTTAATCCTTATAGCGTGAAACCTACTCACGGGTTGTACTTTGACAGCCGAATTGTCAAGGAAGAAAGGTCAGCGCTCTCCAGCAACAGCTGCACGGCTTCACTCCGCGAAAGTAGCAGACGACTCACAGTGCCGCGCTGCCCTCGTCCTGCTTCGGAGCCCCTTACGGGGTTCCTGCGCTGTTTAGGGCGCGCTCCAGGCACCCGCCGAGTCCCACGACCGCAGGCTTCCTCCGCCTGCGGGTTTCGAAAGGGTCTCCGCTGCGCCGTAGCGGATCGACCCGGTTTTCGCGGAGCCTCTCCTCGAGAGTTATGAGGAGATCGCCATTACTGTTGGCGCCGCCTCCGGAAGTAGCACTTGCGGTCCTTCCCTTGTAGCCCTTGGAACACCTGCCCATGCCTCCGCTTCCTCCTCTTCCTCCTCTCTCTGAACTGCTTTCTCTATGGTTGCCCTTGCTCTCCTCTCAAGGCTCCTCAGCAATTCATAGGCCGTGCCAGGCTGCCCATCTCATCCGGGTCCTTCGGCGGCACAGCTGCAGTACGGCCTAGCGGGAGCGGCAGTGACAGGCAGAGGGGAGGCCCCAGGCAGAGACGCTCAGTTTGGCGGCTGTGAGGAGGATAGCAGCGGAAGGGCCCAAGGCTCCCGCCAGTCCCGGCGGGGAGGGGCTCCCGGGGGCCAAGGCTGGTGAGAGGAGGCCGGAGGGGGCCGAACTGGACAGCCAAGCAACACAGTTGGAGCCTCCCTCCTCCCTGGCCGGCAGGGAGGGAGGGAGAGGAGCTACTTCCTTTGAAACCTGGGAAATTTAAGGGACATCCATCAATAAGGGACAGCAGCGGGACATGGCGCTGGGATAAGGGACTGTCCCTCCAAATAAGGGACACTTGACAGCTTCCATCTCCGCCATCTCCAAGTAGGTCTGGGTACATTCCCAGTCTAAAACCCTGGACAGCCATGACCAGTCAGCATAGACAATATTGAGCTAGATGCATATGGGAAACCCACATAAGCAGGACATGAAAGCAATAGTCCTCTCCTCCGGCTGTTCTCCAGAAACTGAGGCATGTTGCCTCCGAACCTGGAGCCCCTGATAACCCTATCTTTTGCATCTGCCTCCAGCCTTAATATTTACTCCCTGGAGGTATTTCGCCTTTCAACTAACATTCATGCTCTTCTTACAGCGATGGGCGCCAGGTGATAACTTGTTCATCTGCAACATAACCTTTTGATCTACAGCAACACTTTCTCTCTCACACACAAATGTCTCTCGGCTTACCAGATCCGCTCTACGTCCATTAGATACCTGGCACGTGGCCTTCAGAAGCAGACGTTCTATAACTCTTTTAAACATCACTCAAGATCCTGACACACAACAAAAATAAATAGCCAATCTCCCAAAACTCTTTTTTTTAATATAGTATATCATTTTCACTCCAACCTATGCCCTAGAGATAGAATAGTACAGTTTTTAGAAGGCAGGGGTTGTTTTGTTTTCCACAGTGGAGACATAGCGAGTACTAGTAACTGCAGTCAGGTATGCTTTAATTAAAACCAAAAAACCTCTCATTATATACATTGCAAGTTCAGGTCAGTGTAATGAATGCGTTTAGTTAGCTTACCATTGTATATGAAACACCAAGTGTACCCAAAAACCATAATGTTTCAGGCTTAATTTTTATATATATTTCTTTCTTTCTTAATTTCTCTTTCTGTCTCACGCAAACACACACATTTTGGCAGGCACTAAAACACAACTAGCACCATCAATCATCACTGATGACTTTGCATGTTTGATCCCCAGCAGATTAGAAGCACTGTAATCTCAAGAGCCAGCAAAACAGTCGGCCACTTACCTACACCTAAGAGCACTATTGTTCTGAGCTCTTCAGTGTACCTGTGTGGCAAGAAAACTGGAAACTCTGAGGTTGTTTACAGCAACAACATAGCCCTTGGTCAGCCCAGTATCTCTATTTGTTTAAGCTTGCCAGCGTGACTGGCCTTCCAGATTTGCTAATGTTCTATATTTGTAATGTGCTAACATGATCTGCGGTTCGAAAGCAGCCATGGACATGATAGAATATCAGCCCTGCAAAGCTCCGTTCAGATAAAAGAAATGAACTTTTAATAGGCTAAGCATCTTAACAGCACTTTGGCGAGGGTGATAAAAACAACATTCCTTTGACCTGTAGTCCCAGCGTTATTTAAAATCACACAGAGGTGCCAGAATGTTATTCCAGGAAGAAAGAAGCCAAGTTGGGGTTTTTTCCTGTTTTTTGATACGCTGTTAGAATTAGACTAATTTTCTTCAGTCTGGAGACCTCTTAATAAAATACGGAAATGAGAAAGAGAACTGAAAGTACCTGCAGCTGTCATGGCTACAGGGTGACCCAAGAGGTGTTGCAGAGCAGGAGCTGGGGAGAGGGACCTAGTCACAAAACAGTCTGGCCAGACACGCTCCCTGTTTAGAGGAAAAGGTGCCACTGCCCTTCTGAACTTGGCAGGTTCTCTGCTTCCTGATATAGTCGCAAAGAGGGCTCTCAGGAACAGGTCCAATTTTATTTCCTGGCAGGCCTTCATCTGTGAGACAGCCACTTTGAAATGTATGTGAAGTAGCTGTGCCAGGAAGCACACAAGGACTCTCAGTAAACAGGTTGCCGGGGCTGTAACAGAAGGCTGTTGCAGAAGGCTGCCACCGTTGGCTGTGTGCTGAAGCGCCGTGCTTTTGCCCACTGCACAACAGGTAAAAAAGAAAGGGGTTTTGCCTCCTCCGTCACTGCATTTCTTTGCAGAGGAAAGTTGCGGCTGCTGATTTCAGCTTCTTAAAGGTAGAGGGACCCCTGACCATTAGGTCCAGTCGCAGACGACTCTGGGGTTGCGGCGCTCATCTCACTTTATTGGCCGAGGGAGCCGGCGTACAGCTTCCGGGTCATGTGGCCAGCATGACTAAGCCGCTTCTGGCAAACCAGAGCAGCGCACAGAAATGCCGTTTACCTTCCCACCGGAGTGGTACGTATTTATCTACTTGCACTTTGACATGCTTTTGTGTTTTTTTAAAAAATATTTATTAAGAATTTCAAAAAAAATTGCAAAAAAATATAGAAAGGAAACACAATAAAAAATTAACAAACATACATTACAATACATCTAAGATAAAGAAAAAACATAAACAACAAAGCAGCAAAAAAGAGAAAAAACATTAAAACACATCCAATATTTCATAACTTTACCTTTCATTTACTTGTTTCATCGACCTCCTCACACCTCCCTTTTGGTATTCTAGTTCAATTAACTATTTCAGCAAATTCTTTCCATCTTTCTCAATTTTTTCCTGTAATATATCTTAACAGTCTAACCTTTAATTTTTTCATTTTGGCCCACTATCAATCAGCTTTTACTTAATTCTTTATAACATTTCTGCTAAAACCATATAACTTCATTCCAACATCCTTCTAACATTCATTGATTTGCACTTTGACATGCTTTTGAACTGCTAGGTTCGCAGGAGCAGGGACCGAGCAACGGGAGCTCACCCCATCGCGGGGATTCGAACCTCCAACCTTCTGATTGGCAAGCCCTAGGTTCTGTGGTTTAGCCCACAGCGCCACCCGCATCCCTTTCAGCTTCTTATTCAGCTGTAAAAGAGCCAAAAATAGGCACAGTGCCACGCATGCAATTAGCACTTGTATGAATTGCTGTTTTTAAAGTCATTAGGAAACTCAAGGCCCCACAGTATGGATTGGGAGCCCAGCCTGAAGGGTACAGGGAGCTTTAACCCTCCGATCCCCACTGTGTTCCCCTTGTCTGCTATTGGCAACAGAATCAGTTACTCTGAGCAGAGTAGTGAGAATGTCACCAACCACCAGCTAACCTTTGGCCTCTTTCATTAGAGAAGGAGCCGAACATACGAGGAGGCCATTGGTGTCACATCAAATTCTAGCCTTTCATCCCAATCAACTCAGTAAATCAGCCGAAATGTCTTCCACTGGATCATGGCTTCTGTGCATTCCCCTCTTCCACAGCAACATGAATCAATATGAGCCACTTACTACACAAGGCTAAAAGGTCATTCTGGTTTTTATTTTTTAGAAGGCTCAGATGCAAGTTTCTAGCCTTCATGTTTGCAGAGGTAAGTTTGATGGTTGTGCGTCTGAAGGATTCAGTAACCCAGGAGGCAAAGGGTGGCGGGGGAAGAGAGAAGCTCATTTGCAGATCTCGTTATTTTTGTTTATTTCTTGATTTCTAAGGGTTGATTTATTATTTTGAACATTCAGACAGTCTGGGTCAGCCGAGGAACTATGATTATGGTTTCAAAGCTGAGCTTTCAAATTACTCGAAATGTACAAAGGTCATATTGCCTCAAATGAGCTTTTCTCATGTATATTTGGGAGTGAGCACTTTCCTCTGGCGACTGAATGTAAACGGAGACTAATGATAATGCACCACTTCAGAAATTGCACAGAGAGCATCGCACTGTCAACTATATTATGCTACTGATAAAGTTCCATGATTACAGGATTGATAGATTAATTTTTGTCAACATAACACGGCAAACTAGTTTTATGTTCTGCTTTCACCATGATTAACTATAAATCCAAGTCCAGCATTTTAAGCAATGAATTTTGAATTTGAGTCAAAAGGCAGGGGAGGGAGATCACAGATAATAGGATGGTCAATGTTTCAGTCAGCTTTTTTAGCTGTGCCTTTCACAATGGCTCTATAAGTAGGAGTTCACAGGGAAAACCTTTCTCAGCAGAAAGAGAAATGTCATCACCTGACTGCCAAGCTACATCGAAAATCACTGTTGCAGCTGATTGAAAAGTCAGCAATCCACAGACTAACCTTCCAAAGAATGTCCCTGATCATTATGATTACCTCACTAATTGCTGCGAAAATAAAGGTAAAGGTAAAGGACCCCTGGACGGTTAAGTCCAGTCAAAGGTGACTATGGGGTGCAGCGCTCATCCTGCTCTCAGGCCGAGGGAGCCACCATTTGTCCACAGACAGCTTTCCAAGTCATGTGGCCAGCAGGATTAAACCGCTTCTGGTGCAACGGGACACCGTGACGGAAACCAGAGCGCACAGAAACGCCGTTTACCTTCCCGCCGCAGCGGTACCTCTTTATCTAGTTGCACTGGTGTGCTTTTGAACTGCTAGGTTGGCAGGAGCTGGGACAAAGCAACAGGAGCTCACTCCATTGAGGGGATTCGAACAGCCAATCTTTTGATTGGGAAGCCCAAGAGGCTTAGTGGTTTAGACCACAGCTCCACCCACATCCCAAATAAACAAGCACATAATCGATAATAGGTCCACCTGCCATTGTGAGACTCAAAGCAATGAAGATGATGCCTCCCCACCTGTTGCCATTGGCTGTGGGTTTCTTGTGATGTCACAAAAGCACTTGGCAACTGAGTGGATATAAAGGCAGGCCAAGGGGAAAGCCCTTTTCTATTTCCAGCAGGACACACCTGGCAATGGATGTGACATTCAGCACTGCCCAGGTTTCTTCCACTTGGAGGAGGCAAAGTGGTGAATGGAAGGAGGCAATCCTCTGGCAGGGGGATGCTAGGGAGCGATAATAAGGCAAGTTTGCTTGCTTGAAGGTATATGTGATTAGAAGCTGGCGGATGTCTCATGATGGACCTAACAGTAGCTTCTGGCACCTTTTGGACCTCCATCTCTAATGTCTGAGGTAAAGGTAAAGGGACCCCTGGCCGTTAGTTCCAGTCGTGGCCGACTCTGGGGTTGCGGCACTCATCTCGCTTTACTGGCCAAGGGAGCCGGCATACAGCTTCCAGGTCATGTGGCCAGCATGACTAAGCCGCTTCTGGTGAAGCAGAGCAGCACACGGAAACACCATTTACCTTCCCACCGGAGTGGTACCTATTTATCTACTTGCACTGGCGTGCTTTCAAACTGCTAGGTTGGCAGGAGCTGGGAGAGAGCAACGGGAGCTCACCTAGTCGCGGGTTTTTGAACCGCTGACCTTCTGATTGGCAAGCCCATGAAAATAGTTGGAATATCAACAGGTGAAGCTTTTTCCAGCAATTAGAGGCTTCAGCATGGGGGTAGCCTAGATTTTTGTTAGGGGGACAGGCCTTTTGTTGGGGGGGCAGAACCTCAGTTTGCTATGTATTTTTTATTGATTTTTATTGATTTAGGGGGACAGCTGTCCCTCCCTGCCCCCCCCCCCTTGGCTACACTCATACTGTATACCTGAAGGAGCATCTCCACCCCCATCGTTCAGCCCGGACACTGAGATCCAGCGCTGAGGGCCTTCTGGCGGTTCCCTCATTGCGAGAAGTGAGGTTACAGGGAACCAGACAGAGGGCCTTCTCGGTAGTGGCACCCGCCCTGTGGAACACCCTCCCTTCAGATGTGAAGGAAATAAGCAGCTATCTTCTCTTTAAAAGACATTTGAAGGCAGCCTTGTTTAGGGAAGTTTTTAATATTTAATGCTGTATTGTTTTTAACACTTGATTGGAAGCCGCCAAGAGTGGCTGGGGAAACTCAGCCAGATGGGTGGGGTATAAATAATAAATTATTATTATATTCATTTCTTGTTTTCTGCCTGTTTGCAGGTGCTAATGATATGCAACCTTCATCTATTAAACAGGAAAAGATGAGTAACATGGTAGCCCCTGATCCCTGAGTTGAGAGGTTATTGTCCCCTGTAACATACCCCTTTTGCTTGTTTGGATAACCCAGAGAAAATCTTGCCCTCTCAAATAATTGTGAAAGTATAACTATGAGGCTGTTGTATCTTAATGACCTGGAAGCTGTACGCCGGCTCCCTCGGCCAATAAAGCGAGATGAGCACCGCAACCCCAGAGTCATCCGCGACTGGACCTAACGGTCAGGGGTCCCTTTACCTTTTAATATAGATATTAGCCAACTGCAGACTTGGTTTTTTTTTCCCCCTTATGGACCAACACAGATCCCTTTGTTATTACAAAATAAAAAAATTCCTTCCAGTAGCACCTTAGAGACCAGCTAAGTTTGTTATTGGTATGAGCTTTCGTGTGTATGCACACTTCTTCAGACACCAGACTGTTATAATTAAATGTAAAGGTAAAAATTCATAATTACACCCATGTTGTGGGTATTTTCCATGGCGGGGAAGCATGCATTGCAAAAGGAGGTGATGGATTAGCAATGAAACTCACAGTGCCATCTGCTGACTGAAGATGGTTAATGCTTTGATGGGTCACATACATAAATATGACACTGGAACAGTATAGCCAATGGACAGGTTATAATGGCAGCTGTAGTCAGCACCACACCTGCTATAGATCATAGTCACAACTTACAGAAACGACAGGACGTATATCCTCCAAATAAGTAAGGGTTTCCTCTGTATATTGGAATTCTGCATCTCACAGGCTTTGCATTTTCAGCACATGTACTCACAATTCCCAGTGTGTAAAATGGGGTTTATTCCCAGGTAAGTGTGCAGAGCATTGTAGCCTAAATTCCCACAGAACACTCTGGGAACTAAGTTTTGCTAGTTTGGCAAAAATGATCAGCAGAATCAGAAATCAGGAAGACCAAAGGAATGGGGAAATTTTATAATTTACCCGAAAAACCATTGTTAAAAACAGTTAAAATCATTAGTAGGATTGGAATAACACCTGTAGTCTAATGGTGAATTTTGGATATAATGGAGATGTAAAAGATTTGGATTATTATAAAAGATGCAGGAGGAAATGATTAATAATAAGACCCACAAAGGGGAGGAGAAAAGTCCAGGAGATTCTTTGGAATTTTGTTTTTATGTTGTATGTTGGATATGTGATTGTAAAATACTAATTTGAAAAAACAAATGAATAAATTTATAATAAATAAATAAATTTTGCTAGCTTGAGTGCCCTCACACATTCTGACATGCTTTCAAGTGCCTTTCAAGGTAGAAGTGATATCATAAAAGATTTTAAAATTATCTGTGGCATGGAGAAATTGGAAGTATCAAAGTTTTTCTCCCTCACTCAAAACACGTGAATTCATGAACATCTGGTGAAGCTTCGTGATGGATAAAAGAACATGCTTCTTCACACAGGAACTATGGAACTGGCTCCAAAGGAAGCAGTTGATGGCCACCAATTTGGGTGGCTTTCAAAGAGCACAGTGGTACCTTGGTTCTCAAACGCTTTGGTTCTCAAACTCCAAAAACTTGGAAGTGAGTGTTCCAGTTTTCAAACGTTTTTCGGAAGCTGAACATCTGATGCAGCTGTTGGCTATTGTTTCTGGGGCACCTGCACCAATCAGAAGCTGCGCCTTGGTTTTCGAACATTTTGGAAGTCAAACAGACTTCTGGAATGGATTAAGTTTGAGAACCAAGGTACCACCGTATTTGGCGCTTTTGTTTTTGCTATTTATTTTGCATTTTTGTTTTTTAGGCTTTTTCGGTTAATTTGTTTTTGTGACTGTGTGGAACCCAGTTCAGCTACTGATTGATTGATGGTGTGACTGCGGAAATGGATAAAAGCCCCCCATCCAAATAATGACTATCATCAGTGCAGGTAAGGAAAAAATAATGATTTTGATTTTTATCATCTACAATACTGTCTTGTTTATTTTATAGTACAATACATTGATTGTTGCTTTCATTTTATGGATCAATGGTCTCGTTAGATAGTAAAATTCATGTTAAATTGTTGTTTTCGGGGTTGTTTTTCAAAACTCTGGAATGGACTAATCCGTTTTGCATTACTTTCTATGGGAAAGCGCACCTTGGTTTTGGAAGGCTTTGGTTTTGGAACGGACTTCCGGAACGGATTAAGTTTGAGAACCAAGGTGTGGCGTTCGTACGGAGCCCCAAATCGTCTCATGGACTATTGACCCGTACACCACTAATCCGCTGCCACCAACCAGGTCCTCCCTGGTAAAATCACTTCAGTCTCAGTCAACTTTTCAATTAATAAAGAGGAGTGTATTTTATTTCAGACACAAACAAAACTTTTACAGCATTCCAAACGTTGTTGCTCTTTATTTTCTTAGTCTTATTTTCCTCTCTCTATCTCTTCTACCTCCCCACACTCAAGAACCCACCGCCCTATCTGTCTCTTTATTCCCAACTGCTTCTTCAACTGCCTTTCCCAACCAGCCAACCCACTAAAACCAACCAACTGCCCACCAACAACTCCCAACGAACTCCTCCCAGAACTCCTCCCAGATCTAGTTTTATAGACCCACTGACTCCACCCCCCTGGGTCCTTTCTGTGCAACCTAGTTAACTATTTCCCCTCCAGCACTCTCTCATCTATGTTAACATCACACAAGGTACCACTGTACTAGATAAATTCATAGAGGAGAGGTCTATCAACGACTACTAACCATGACGGCTGTGATCTATCTCCATGGCTGGAGACAGTAATGCTGTTGGACCATATTCTTCCGGTACATAGCGCTTCTATTCCATCATTCCAAGTCCTGGAAACATCATTGACAGACCAGCTATCAAAAGGCGGAGGTAAGCAAACTGGATATACAGTGGTGCCTCGCAAGACGAAATTAATTCGTTCCGCGAGTTTTTTCGTCTTGCGGTTTTTTTCGTCTTGCGAAGCACGGTGTCAGAAAAGCTTTGGAAAAGCTTCAAAAATCACCAAAGTCTTCAAAAACCTCAAAAAAGGCTACCACACCGCGTGCTATGAGTTGCTCCTCGAAGTCAAGTCGCAACTGTATTAACGGTTTTAAGAAAAAGGAAACAAACTTGCAAGACGTTTCCATCTTGCGAAGCAAGCCCATAGGGAAAATCGTCTTGCAAAGCAACTCCAAAAACCAAAAACCCTTTCATTTTGCGAGTTTTCCATCTTGCGAGGCATTCGTCTTGCGAGGTACCACTGTACTTTGATTCTTTTATACATGGGGAGGCCATTATGTTCCATGAGCCATTAACTCCTTCCATCAGCCATTAACTCCTCAACTCCTCTACGCCTCAAACTTCTGGTTCAATGGCTCATTCCCCAGGTTCGCTGGCTTCCAGGCAAAGTTTCTCTGGTCCCTCCTACAAGTTCCAAATTGTGTTCCAAATGCAATAGTATTTTTAGAAACAGGTGAATGTCCTTTATCAACTAAAGCATGGTGGGCTGCCCTGAGATACTGGCTCAAGATCTCAGTCTTTGGCCTAGGGAAGGGGTTACTTCCATACCTAAACAACGAGGAGTTTACCAGCTCATGGATGAAAATTATGGTTAGAAAAACCACTTCGATTGGTTGCCACCTTCCCTCCTGTACCAACTGGGGTATGATACCGCCCTTGAATCTCTGAGGCAAAGGCTCTGAGACATATCGCATAGTGATCTCCGATCTCAATCTCATGTTATCTGTGGCCCATTGGCAGTAGGAATCCACTATGGGTTCAAGTTTCAGACACCTGCATATCTTAGAAATTTGTCTGTACCAACATACTGGCATCTTTTCACCAAAGCCAGATTAAATATCTCCATCAGAAGTGTTGAACAGCAGACTGAGAGGTATCCCTTATCAGAATAGGATCTGTGTGTGCTCTCAGGATGTCGACTGCATGAGGCATATTTAATTGCATTGTGGACAATATGATCAAGCGAGGGAACTATTGATTAAACCACTATTGGCAAATCGGCCGGGTCAATCTGAATCCTACTATATCAAATATCTTCTGGACGACAAGTCCAGCGATACCACAGTGGCCGTGGCAAAGTTTCTTTCCGTAGTCATATGAATCAAAGATCAACATACCCATGACTAAACAAATAACGCTTCAGTCTTCCTTCCCTGGGGGGTTGTCTAGATGAGTCTGTATTTTATTCTGTATCTATCTTATGGGTCGTTGGACTGCAATAAAGGTTATTATACGCGGGTGGTGCTGTGGGTTAAAACACAGAGCCTAGGACTTGCCGATCAGAAGGTCGGCGGTTCGAATCCCCGCGACAGGGTGAGCTCCCGTTGTTTGGTCCCAGCTCGTGCCCACCTAGCAGTTTGAAAGCACGTCAAAGTGCAAGTAGATAAATGGGTACTGCTCTGGTGGGAAGGTAAACGGCGTTTCCGTGCGCTGTTCTGGTTCGCCAGAAGCGGCTTGGTCATGCTGGCCACATGACCTGGAAGCTGTACTCTGGCTCCCTCGGCCAATAAAGCGAGATGAGCGCTGCAACCCCAGAGTCAGCCACGACTGGACCTAATGGTCAGGGGTCCCTTTAGCTTTAATGCTGCTGAATACCACTTTCTGGAAGTCACATGAGTGTTCTTGTGCTTGGGTTCTGCTTGAGAGTTTCCCATGGTACATCTGGTTGCCCCTGTGAGAACAGGACTGGATGAGTCCTTAGCCTGATCTAGCAGGCTCTTCTTAGGCAGGGGTCCCCAACCTGTGGCCCACGGAGGCCATTTAACCGGCCAATGAGCCACCCCTGAACCAAGCTGCCCGCTCAGCGAGTCTCCACGCGCTGCGCTGAACTAGTGCACATGGGGACTCTCTTACGCGGCTCCGGAAATCACTTCTGCGCATGCCCAGACACTGGAAATCGCTTCTGTGCAGGCATGGTTTTTGGCATCTGGGCATGCACAGAAGCCATTTTCAGCGCTGCAGACATGCGCAGATGTGATTTCCGGCGTCTCGCTGCGCTGGTCCGTCCCACAGAAGATCTCCACGGGAGTGATCCGGCCCATGCCCGGTAAGCCTTGCCGATCCCTGTTCTTAGGTAATACAGTGGTGCCTCGCAAGACAAAATTAATTCGTTCCGCGAGTTTTGTCGTCTTGCGATTTTTTTCGTCTTGCGAAGCACGGTGTCGGGAAAGTTTTGGAAAAGCTTCAAAAATCACCAAAGTCTTTAAAAACCTCAAAAAAGGCTACTCGAAGTCAAGTCGCAACTGTATTAACGGTGTTAAGAAAAAGGAAACAAACTTGCAAGACGTTTCCGTTTTGCGAAGCAAGCCCATAGGGAAAATCGTCTTGCGAAGCAGCTCAAAAAACGAAAAACCCTTTCGTCTAGCGAGTTTTTTGTCTTGCGAGGCATTCGTCTTGCGAGGTACCACTGTATATCTGAAGAAGGTTTATACTCTCTGAAATCAAGCCTGCTTTTGCAATAAGCAAGCCAATCCCTGCAGTGCAACTATGGATGAGTTCACACAAGCATATTCACCACCTCATTTCAAAATCACAAGCTTCCTCGCATGTGTTAAACAGCTACCACAAATCAGACACCATGGAGGGATGGTGTTTGTATCACCCGGCATAACCTCCAATAAAATGCCTTTTTAACAGAGGTGGGTCAATAGGGGGTGAAAGAGAAGTTTTAAAATGTGGGGTTTTGGGGGGGGGTTCCATTGGGCGGTTGTTTTTATTTTGATTATGTAATTTGTGGTTTTATATTTTGATTTTATTCTGTAAACTGCCCTGAGACCTCCGAGTATAGGGTGGAATAATAATAATAATAATAATAATAATAATAATAATAATTAATAATAATAAGGAAATGAATCAATTTGCTAAAGGCTGTGTGTGTTGTCATGTCACTAAAGAGCTTGCCATATCAATAACAAGATCTAAATGAGAGCCTTCCATTAAATATATTGCTTTTTGGTCTGTCACACAAATATTACAATAAAGAAAGGGAGGGAAGGAGGGAGGGAGGGAGATGTGCATGGTAATTACAAAAGGTAATTACAGGTGGAGGCATTGCACTCCATCATATGCGATGACAAATTACAGGAAAGAACAGAGAAACCCTCCACAAAGAACTAATGACTTCTGTCCGTGGCTTATACAGAGATGAAACAATAACTTTAAAATAATTAGCAAGAGAGAAGGTAATGATGGCAAAAAAAGAGGCCAGTTTACATGGCACTAAGTGCCTAATTTGTTGCAGTGAGTTGTCCCATTAGGGCCGGCATCAATCACTGTGATCTGTAAATGAGGTTTTAATACTTCCAACCACAACTGGAAAAAGTTTAAGGCATTCACAGGTGCCCTGCAAAATTAATACGCTCCCGGGGAACTTCAGAAGCTGATCATTCTTACCTGGGCTTGTGCGTTCAGAGTATTAACATATTATCATAACAGCTCTCCTCAACCCAAGAGTGCACCTTGGTCAAAAGGATTATCTAAAATGTATTTGTCTCTCTTTTTCCTGCCTCAGTCCAAACCTCTTACAGAAGACTCCATTTCATTTTCCCCTCTAGCTCAGTTGAGGAATATGCAGGCAGTTGGGGGAATCCCTAAAACAGACTTAGGGGTTACACAGGGCAAGGGAAGAAAAGAGAGGAATGTTCCATTGCTTTTTAACATAAATCCTTGCACTAATGGAACATTCATGTAGCAGCACATCAGACACAAACCTTGGAATTGCTTTTTTAAAAAAAAATGTTTTGTATTTCTGCAAACTTCAAGGTTCCCCTGGACATATGGAGACCCTGCTCTCGCGCATTGGCTGGTGGCATTTTGGCAACATAAGAATGCCACTCTGAGAACGGAGTTCACTATTGGTACATTATTTTCCTTTTAAAAAATGTATTTTTTTGCAGTGTTCGTTATATTATATGCAATGGAAAAAAGTAATCACATGGAGAGAGTCTCTTCAATTTGACTTTGCTGGAGTGGCTTCTACAGAGCGTGCCATGAATATTACTGTTCACTTATCAGGTCAAATCCTGATTTCAGGTCAACTCAGCTCAAACACAGCACAGTAAGACTGTAGAAGAGAGAAATACAAAGTGGGGGTAAGAGAAAACTTAACACGGGACGAACCAGAGCTACGTTTTCAATTTTTTAGCTATTGGTTCCAGAGGACTAGTGCCTTTAACACTTGAATGGCAGGCAAAAAAAAAATATTAACAAGAGAATGCAGATGCTGTGAAAATGACATTTTTTGAATTCATACCAGTCATGTCACAGCTAAGGCTGCAAGGAACTCAGGAAATGGTGGTATCCCTGCAAATATATCCCTAGGTTATTCCTGCCAAATATCTTGGGCTTGAAAGAATGTAGAAGACAGAAGGATTTGTAAGAAAGTTCGGCCCTGGGGAAACTGAAGCTTTTCAGATGCAAAATCTCTTTGAACCTTAAGGTTTGGCTGCACCACAATTGGGTTTCATCCCTTTGTAATTGACTTTGGAAGGGTTAACAAAGCTCCAGGACTCAGGATATTTCTGCAAAGGAGCTCAATAACAGCTATTGCCACTTCCTCAGTGACTTCTCACTGACAGCTTCACACTTAGCATTGCTTTCAAATGGTCTGTTATGCTGCCAGCTCAAGTTAACACCAAGAAGAGAGGCAGATGTAAGGGAAACCAGCACACAGAAGCTTACATCTTGGGGTGGGGGGGTGGAGGGGGAGGATTTTGTTGCTTTCTGAAAGAAATAAGGCCAAAAAGAAACAGGCAAGGAAACAAAAAGGCACCCCAGAATCCATGTTTCTGCCCAAAGCAAAGTTTGCACAAGCAACTGTTTGTATCTCTCTAAACTCTCTACTGGGACGCGGGTGGCGCTTTGGGTTAAACCACAGAGCCTAGGACTTGCTGATCAGAAGGTCGGAGGTTCGAATCCCCGCAACGGGGTGAGCGCCCATTACTCGGTCCCTGCTCTTGCCAACCTAGCAGTTCAAAAGCACGTCAAAGTGCAAGTAGATAAATAGGTACGGCTCCAGCGGGAAGGTAAATGGCATTTCCATGCGCTGCTCTGGTTCACCAGAAGCAGCTTAGTCATGCTGGCCACATGACCCAGAAGCTGTACGCCGGCTCCCTCAGCCAATAAAGCGAGATGAGCGCCGCAACCCCAGAGTCGGTCATGACTGGACCTAATGGTCAGGGGTCCCTTTACCATTTCCTTTAAACTCTCTACCGAGTTAGCTTGCAAGCAATTTTGCATAATCCTCACATCCAAGCACAAAACAAAATAATACTGGGAAGATTCCCATCCACAGACAGCCATAGTAATGACTTCAGATCCTTGTCACTGCTTGGAAATTAGTTCAAAATTCAATTATGCTCCTTCTGAAAGGTTAGAGGATACTGTGGTTTTAAAAAAAGGTAAAGGACGAGACTCTTGAGAGTCCCATGGACTGCAAGAAGATCAAACGTATCCATTCTTAAGGAAATCAGCCCTGAGTGCTCACTGGAAGGACAGATCGTGAAGCTGAGGCTCCAATACTTTGGCCACCTCATGAGAAGACTCGACTCCCTGGAAAAGACCCTGATGTTGGGAAAGATGGAGGGCACAAGGAGAAGGGGACGACAGAGAATGAGATGGTTGGATGGTGTTCTTGAAGCTACCAGCATGAATTTGGCCAAACTGAGGGAGGCAGTGGAGGACAGAAGTGCCTGGCGTGCTCTGGTCCATGGGGTCACGAAGAGTCGGACACGACTAAACGACTAAACAACAACAAAGGACCCATGGACAGTTAAGTCCGGTCAAGGCAACTATGGGGTTGCAGCACTCATCTCGTTTTCAGGCTGAGGGAGCTGCCATTTGTCTGCACACAGCTTTCCAGGTCATGTGGCCAGCAGGACTAAACCGGTTCTGGTGTAACGGAACACCGTGACAGAAGCCAGAGTGCACAAAACGCCATTTACCTTCCCGCCACAGCAGTACCTATTTATCCACTTCCACTGGCGTGCTTTCAAACTGCTAGGTTGGCAGAAGCTGGGACAGAGCAATGGGAGCTCACTCTGGTAATCTCTGGGATGCTCTGGTTATCTCCCGCTTGGACTGGGGCTACCTTTGAAGGTGACCTGGAAACTACAACTAATCCAGAATGCGGCAGCTGGACTGGTGACTGAGAGTGGCCACCGAGACCACATAACACCGGTCCTAAAAAACCTACATTGGCTCCCAGAAGTTTTCTGAGCACAATTCAGAGTGCTGGTGCTGACCTTTAAAGTCCTAAACGGCCTTGGTCCTGTATACCTGAAGGAGCACCTCCACCCCCATCGTTCTGCACGGACACTGAAGTCCAGCACCGAAGGCCTTCTGGCGGTTCCCTCATTGCGAGAAGCAAAGTTACAGGGAACCAGGCAGAGGGCCTTCTTGGTAGTGGCGCCCGCCCTGTGGAACATCAGATGTCAAAGAAATAAACAACTATCTGACTTTTAGAAGGCAGCCCTGTTTAGGGAAGTTTTTAATGTTTAATATTGTATTTTAATCTTTGTTGAAAGCCGCCCAGAGTGGCTGGGGTATAAATAATATTTATTTTATTTTTTATTTTTTTATTTTTTTATTAGTCTGTTTCAGGGATTTGAACTGCTGACCTTCTGATCAGCAAGCCTAAGAGGCTCAGTGGTTTAGACCACAGCACCACCCGTGTCCCCTAGAGGATACTGTACAATGGACATGAAATGGCAGAAGCAGTTGTTCACCATCGAGAATAGGACTCATTGCAATGTTTTGATGGGAGAAATGCAGAAGCAGCTGCAACACTTCCTATTGTCTGTCTGGATCTGATTCTTGAGTGTCTGTGTAATTGTTTACAGCAGATCAAATGCCACTTTATTTATAATTGTCAATTTTCCGGCAAGCCTAGGGATAAGGTGTATATAAGCATTCCTAATAAATAGGATTGTAGCCAGTTTTAGTTATACTCAGAGTAGACTCACTGACATTAACAAACCTAAAGTCTATTAAGTTTTGTGTGTTCCTTCTCAGCATTGGACACACCCCACAATAAATATATTTCTCATCATCAGAAATCCCACATGCTGCTATCCTTCCCACCGGGGGCAGGCTGTTGTTGGAGATACATCAGTGACTTTTTTTATTGCAGGCATGAAAAAAGGAAAGCAGTTACAGATAACAAAAAGAAGAGAGATCATCCGCTTTGGTTCATCAAAGTGAGGACCACTCATCAGGATGATGGGGGACAGCAGCAGGAGGCCCCAAAGATTGTTAAGCCCTTAAACTATGATGTGCAGTTGAGGAATACAGGCAGCCAATGGAATAAAAGAACAGTGTGTGGTTTTGAAAGAGAGGAAAAGATACAATTGGCCCAGAGCTTTGGAAGATTACCCAGCTAATCTTACTTCTCCATCCTTCTGTTTCGTTAGTGAGTCAGCAAATTGTCAAAACCCCCAAGTGAAACGCTTGCTCCCATTCTAAGGGGTTGTGTTTCATTATTTCTAAAATCCCATGTTGTGATTTTCGGATCATAGCAGAGCCTCCTGACAAAGCTCCTCCAATAGTCATTGAACTTTTCCCTCGATGGCTCAGAAGATGGGCTGATCCTCTTGTGTCCTCAGCTATAGTTCTAAGTGGAAGAACCTGCTGGGCACAGCTGGAACTGGTGCCAAACTTACAGGCTCTGCAAGAAGAAAAATGTGTTTGACAAGCTGCGTAAGTTTCTTCCATATGTTTAAGTTAGGCTTTGTGGTCTGTGTGTGTTTTTACAAAATCCATTGCCCTGGGGGACGCCATGTTTCTGTTGTAAGCGAATGACATCCTGGGGAGATCTTATTCAGCCATAAGCTCAAAGGTTTAATTGGCAACTCAATTTTTAATTGATAAATGCCTAACAACAACTTTTCTCTCTCAATATTACTGGTCCTTCATCCTAAGATCCCAGGGTAGGCTGCAACAACTTAAAATACATTAAAAACAAATTTAAAACAAATTCAAAATCAATATCGTTTTACTAATAAAATTTCCTTTTATTGATATTTATTGTGAGATGTCTCTGATTTATCTACTGTAATATAAGAAGCCCACTCCTCTTTTAAGAGTATTTTCCCCTCAGTGTGAAGATATAAAGCAGGACTAGGCAAACTCGGCCCGCTAGATGTTTTGGGACTACAATTCCCATCATCCCTGACCACTGGTCCTGTTAGCTAGGGATGATGGGAGTTGTAGTCCCAAAAACATCTGTAGGGCCAAATTTGCCTATGCCTGATGTAAAAAATAGATTTCAGATCTGCATAAGGAGAACCCTTAACAAACTACATTTCCCAGCATTCTTTGTGGAAGAAACTGTGACTGTTTAAAGTGGTATGAGATTGTTTAAAATCTATTGTGTGGATGGGACCATTATCACAGTTCAATGACACATTCCAGCAAGGTAAAAACACCCAAGGAGGCTGCTTAGGGGCATGCCCTGGGAAAAGTGTCAAGTGACCTAGAGGGCCAGCATTCGGCTTGTGGGATTGATGTTGTTATAGTCCGAAACTTCTACAGAGAACCAGTTATATATACATTTAATTCAGGCATAGGCAAACTCGGCCCTCCAGATGTATTGAGACGACAACTCCCATCATCCCTAGATAACAACACCAGTGGTCGGGGATGATGGGACTTGTAGTCCCAAAACATCTGGAGGGCCAAGTTTGCCTATGCTTGATTTAATTTATATACCGCCATTCACCTGTAGATCTTAGGGCAGTTCAATGGTGGAAGGCTGGTATAGCCAATGGCGAGAAAAACTAAAATTCTAAGTTGTTTTTATTACATTTATATCTCCTCCAAGGAGCTCAAGTTTATCCTGACAACAACCCTTTGAGGTAGGTTAGGCTGAGAGACTGTGACTGGCCCAAGGTCACCCTAGTGAGTTTCGTGGCTGATTTGAACCCTGGGCACCTAGTCCACCGTGCCAAACAGACGAAGTGCCAATATTGGGGTAGGGGAAGACAGCTGTCGAAGCCTGCAAACGGAGAGAATTTCTTTTCTAGATGGCTGCATCTGATCCTTTGAATTTGACTGGTGAGCAGACATACATCCCCTCATCATCCTCTCTGTCTATATACCCTGCTCTGCCTTGAGAAAATAGCATGTTAAAATTGTCTCCTTAGAACTCCCACGCTCACTGCCTTAAGCTGCCTTTTGTGTGCCGGCGTGAAATGATTTGACCTACTCTTGGAAGCCATTGATTATCTGTCAGGGCCAGGATCTTCTCAACGGGAGCTTTTGCATGAAACATTTCTATTACTAACTGGGAACATGAGGGAGTGGGGCTCGTGGCTCCGTCCAGATAGAGGGCAAATCACAAGTCTGAAACTCAAGACATCAGATCATGAATGTTCTGAGGCTGAGGGGGACTGCTGGGCACCCAGTGCAGAATGATCAAGGGGATGGGCAGCTCTCTCGTGAGGAAAGGTTGTGACATTTGGGGCTGCTTTTTTTTAAAAAAAAAATGCTATTCACAATAAAGCAGTGAAATGAAAGATAAGATATCAGAAAAAAGAAGAAAAGAACAAAGAAAGAATAAAGAAGTAAAAGAAAAAGATCATATGTGAAAATTTTTTAAAGTAGATAAATACTCACAGTACATAGCCGTTTCTCATCTATATTTATTTGTATTGTATAATTGTATAATTTCATCTTGTCCTTATCTACCTTAAATAAATTGGTTTTTTTTGGGGGGGGGAAGACTTCCACCATTTACCTCACGCGTTTTTAATAATCCGTTCATCAGAACCTCTGTTCTTCTTATTTTCCCTTTGGATTTCCTTAATGTCTCACTTTGTATTTTTTATATTACGCACAAGATTATTCTAAACACAACCAGATTTTTGTAGTCGAGCCCTGGTTTTGTAAATAATCATTTAAAAACTCCCATTGCTTCATAACCATAGTTTTGGATTTTCTCCTTAGTATATCCATCAATTTTGCTAATTCCAGGTACTCGCAAAGTTTCCCCAACCATTCTCTTTTTCTTAAGAAGCCACAACAACAACAAAAAGAGAAAAGGTGAATAAGAGGGGACGTGACAGAGGTGTATAAAATTATGCACAGGGCTTTTCTCCCTTTTATAATGCTGGAACTCATGGAAATCCAAGGAAACTGAATGTTGGAAGATTCAGGACAAAATAAAGTACAGTGGTACCTCAGTTTTCGAACATAATCCATTCCGGAACACTGTTTGAGTTCTGAAACGTTCGAAAACTCAATAGCCAACAGCTTGGCCCCAGGATCCTGCACTCAGCAGAAGCCATGTGGCATGTTTGACTTGCAAGGCTTGCTCGAAAACCAAATCATTTACTACTGGGTTTATGACGGAGTTCGTCAATGGAGACGTTCAAAAATTGGGTCCTCAAAGAGGGCACATATTGCAGTGAGACCTGGAAAACCGACACCCTATATTGTGGGTGGGTACAATTGGTCAACCACAATACCCGATTGGCAGGTCCCTTGAAGCTGGGTGCAATCTGGGCAATGGGACGCAGTCTAAACAGTTTGAGGAACCTATTTATGCCCATGCACGTGACCCAGATCTTCCTCTTTCAGTGTGTGCATTCGGAACACCTGCCCACTTCTCCCTACTTTTAGGGGGGTTTGCGCTTGACCTTGCTATGCCATCATGTGTCGTCTGTCGTTGGGACAGGGGCATGGCAGGAATTTTCCCCACTTGGCTGTATGGCTGTTGCCATTTGGGTTTTGCCTGCTGCATAGCAAATCGTCACAACTTGTAAGGTTGCGGATAGGCTCTGGTTCAGGTGATAGGATGGGAGAACGCTCTCGCCATCCTTATGTGAAGGGTATTCTGTTAAAGGAATCCAGGGACTCGATGATTTGGTCAACCCCTAAGAGGGGGTTGTGCCCATGCCTGAGTCCAGGGGGATATTTGGGTGGTGGAGTTAGCCCGTTCCCGGCTTTCCGCTTATCCAGGTGTTCACCCTTGGCTGACCTATGCTGGTGCCCTGGGTCAGCGCTACCTGCATGGCAGGGAGCTAGTCAAACCAGAGCCTATGCAACCAGTCACTTTCTGTAATCAATAAAGTTGTGGCCTAAATTCTGCCAAAAACCAAAACCAAAATTTGAGTCATCTGTGAATTTATTTAGGGAGGAGGTTTCTGGGTCTGAACACGCAAACCGAGGTACTGCTGTACTTCAGAGAGTTCAGTAGCAATGACTACCAACTTGGATGGCTCTACAAAAGGATTAGGCAAATTCATGGGGCATAAGCCTGTCAATGGCTATTAGTCATTATGGCTATGTTGTTACTTCATTATCAGAGGCAAAATGTCTCTGAATGCCAATTGCTGGGAATCCCAGGTAGGCAGAGAGCAGTTAGCATCAGGTCCTCTTGCCGTGATGTAGAACACTGTGGCCCTCCAGATGTTATTAGACTCAACTTGAACCTACCCAGACCCTCAGATCATCTTCTGAGGCTCTCCTTTATGTGCCTTCCCCTCAAGAGGTCCGGAGGGTGGCAACACAAGAACAGGGCCTTCTCTGCAGTGGCTCCCCATCTGTGGAATGCTCTCCCCAGGGAAGTTCACCTGGCAGCTTCATTATATACCTTTAGGCGCCAGGCAGAAATGTTCCTTTTCAACCAGGCCTTTGGTTGACCTGATTGACATCCTTTGGCTCTTTTTTTTGGGGGGGGGGGTGGCATGTTACTGGGTTATTGTTCTTATTTTGATTTTATATATTGTGATCTTTTCTGTGAACCGCCCTGAGACCTCCGGGTATAGGGCGGTATATAAATTCCATAAATGAATAAAGTAAACTCCCATCAGTTCCAGCCAGCATTGTCAATGGTTTAGGGACAAAGAGAGATGTAGTCCAACACCATCTGGAGGGCCACAGTTCCCCGTCCCTAGTTTAAGGTCAGTGATGGAACAGCCAGGAAAATGAAATGGTTCTACACACTGCTGTAGAGAAGATGAATGGAAGAGGCCTTACTTTGCCTGTTATGTGGCCCATTAGCAGTCTCCAAAGCAAGTGAAATAAAAAAATTCAAGGTCATTCATATATATATATATATATATATATATATATATATATATATACACATACACACACACACACACACACACATTGGTACCTCGGGTTAAGTACTTAATTCGTTCTGGAGGTCTGTTCTTAACCTGAAACTGTTCTTAACCTGAAGCACCACTTTAGCTAATGGGGCCTCCCGCTGTCGCTGCGCCGCCGGAGCACGATTTCTGTTCTCATCCTGAAGCAAAGTTATTCACCCGAGGTAATATTTCTGGGTTAGCGGAGTCTGTAACCTGAAGCGTATGTAACCCGAGGTACCACTGTATATATGATAAATGTTCATAACTGCATATATAAACCACATGACTGAAACCCTACAGAAAAATTCCTGAAACTATTTTGTCCCTCCCAAATTGACCTCAAATATTTCTCTGCAAGGTTGAAGGAAAATGGAAAAGCCTCCCCATTGTCTTTTCATTCACAAATCCAGTCTTAAGGGTATATCTGTATATGAATAGGGTGAGCCTGTGACCTGGCTCAGGAACTAAGTATTTGTCATTACAAAAGTCTGGTCAGGCCATAGTTGTCAACCTTCCCTTTTTTGCAGGAAATTCCCTTATTCCAGCGCCGTTTCCCGCTGCTTCCCTTTGCTATCCCAGATTGTTAGATATCCCGTAGACTGTCCCCGGGACAGGTGAGGCTGCTGATCCCTTATTTTCAAATCTGAAAGTTGACAGCTATGGGCCAGGCTCCCCAGGGTATCCAATCAAGTGACCATTAACAGGTAATTTGCCAGACAGGAGATAAATAACGCACTCAGATTTCTGTTGTAGACCGCCTTTTCTGTGATGTAGATATGTTTGTGGGGGGTGGTCTTGGGTTACACCCCTTCTGTGATGTATGTATGATGTATGGAGGGGTGGTCTTGAGCTCCAGGGCAGGGAATTTATTGTGAAGTGGCCTGTGAGAATATAAATCGAGAGGGATTTTGTAGAGAAGGGTGTCGTAAGTTCATAGCAATGGTCATAAGTTCATAGAAACCACTCATGCTGGATTCTCTTATATTGGTCGTTCTGTCTCCTATCCTGCACAGAAAAAAATAAGGGGATTTTCATTTTTATGTGGGGGAGGGGGAGTGACTAGAAATATTAATTATAGGTAATGAAGGTTTTTTTAAAACAAAAAAAATCATGTAAGAAAAGCAATTTTACTGTAACAACAGAAATTACATTTCAGACCCAGAAGCCTGCTGAGAAACAGATTAGATTCCCATTTCATAGCTTAAGGTCTAAAAAAAATTACCGTCCCCTTCCTTGTCTCCCATGACAACTTTCCACCTCTGCTCTTTGTCCTTATTGCGTCTTTCTTTTAACTTCAGAAGCATGTTCAAAGCAGTTTTATTTTTCAGAATGGCATTTCAGCCAAGAGATCCCAAGGAACCCGAACAGTTCACCAAGTCGCATTATTTGTTTTCTGTTTCTGCTCCTCTTCCATCGCAGCATTTACACTGGAAACATAACTCCTCGCTTTATGGAGGTAATTGGACGGTGTGGAGAAATGTGGCCTTGTTCTAAAAGCTTATGGGTCATCATCAGGTGCTTCAAGCTGGTATTGTGGAGGGGGAGAGGGAAAAGGTTTACACACAGCTATATAGGGTTAAGTAGTCTCTCTATATGCACCAGTAGAGTATTGGGCTTGTTAAAAGTTAATAGCATTTATAAAAACCAAGAGAAAGGGGGAAAGACATGTGTGTTACGACCTCGGCAGGAAAAGCAGACAGGTGCAAGATCCCAAACGCTTTTTAGTGCAACATCATTTTCTCAGCAGAGCATGGGCAAAATTATTACGGACACCAAATTTAAACAGTTGCACCTTCTTGGTGAAAGCAATTTCCTACGTTCAGTATATTTATTGGACATATATACATATGGACTTGGGGAAGGAAGGGAGAAAGAGAATCCTTTCCACAGGTTTGAAATTTTGGGTTGTATCCTGTGCTAGTCCTACCCAGAGTAGACCTGTTGGAATTAATGAACCTAAGTTACTCATGTCCATTACTTTCAATTGGTCTACTTTGATTAAGACAAGCATTTGATAAAGCTCCCGAATTCCTTTTTGTTTTGGCACCGCTGCCAACATCTATTTTGGCATTAAGTGGTCTGTAAATATATAGAAATATAATCTGGATTAGTAGTTCAGAGGAACCTGGGCATTTAAGAATAAGAATCTATACACAGACTAAGTTTAACAGATGTAGAGTTTTATGTTCTAGTTCATGGGTAGGCAAACTAAGACCTGGGGGCCGGATCCGGCCTAATCGCCTTCTCAATCCGGCCCGTGGACGGTCTGGGATTCAGCGTGTTTTTACATGAGTAGAATGTGTCCTTTTATTTAAAATGCATCTCTGGGTTATTTGTGGGGCCTGCCTGGTGTTTTTACATCATAGCTGTCAACCTTTCCTTTTTTTGCGGGAAATTCCCTTATTCCAGCGCCGTTTCCCGCCGCTTCCTGCTGCTATCCCGGATTGTTAGATATCCCGTAGACGGGTGAGGCTGCTGATCCCTTATTTTTGAGGCTGCTGATCCCTTATTTTCAAATCTGAAAGTTGACAGCTATGTTTTACATGAGTAGAATGTGTGCTTTTATTTAAAATGCATCTCTGGGTTATTTGTGGGGCATAGGAATTTGTTCATTTTTTCCCCCAAAATATAGTCTGGCGAGATCTGCCTACGCCGCCGCCTGCGCTACATCCAGATCGCGCGTCCCCTTCTCCCCCGGGTTCCCCTGCAAACAGAAGCAGCTGCCAACCGCCCCCTCCAGGCTTTTGCATCCGGGCCCAGCAGCAGCAGCAGTGAGCAAGCGGCCTCATCTCCTCCTCATTGTCATCCGTGCGACTGCATCCCCCGCATTGCCCTCTGCGGCCATGAGCGGCTGGAACAGCTGCATTGACAACCTGATGGCGGATCAAACACAGTGGGGTTTTTTGGGGGACGACGACGCAGGGTATGCATACCCCTAAACATTTTGTGAATCTAAGTTTGGCCTCATTGAGGGGCAGTATTTCGGTATGAGTAGGAAAATGAGAGTACAGTCGTACCTCATGTTATGTTTGCTTCATGTTAGATTCATTCAGGTTACATCCCGCCGCAACCCGGAAGTACCGGAAAGGGTTACTTCCGGGTTTCGCCGCTCGCGCATGCGCAGAAGCGCAAAATGATGTCACACGCATGTGCAGAAGCGGTGAATCGCAACCCGCGCGTGCTGAGACGCACCTCTGCGGGTTGCACTCTTTTCATGCTGCAAACGGGCCTCCGGAATGGATCCCGTTCGCAATCAGAGGTACTACTGTACCCCTAAACATTTTTTGAGGAAAAAAGCACTGATCAAACTTACGTGGTCTCAGTTCAGAGTGCATATGTACATGTAGAACACATTGATTTCATCTGATCCTAGTGGTGAGGACCAAGAAACCAACAGTTACCCTTGACCCCCATTCCACAAGGCTGCATCTCACAAGAATTCTCCCCCATTTTATATTTTTAGGCACCAGGCAAAAACATTCCTCTCCAACCAGGCCTTTGGCTGATTACAGCCTTTTAAATGTGTATGCGGGGAGGGGGGGGGGTTATTGTTTTGTTGTTCTGGTTTAATTATTTACTTGTGTTTTATTTTGTATTTTATTCTGTGAACGGCCTTGTGCTCTTTTGATGAAGGGTGGTCTATAAATTTAATTAATTAATAAGAATAAGAGGTCAGCGTCTATTTGGGCTTTTGACAGCATTTTGTTTCCTTACTCAGCCTACTGAGATTTAAGTGTAAGTGTTTATGTTAATTAGCTGGATAAGTTTGTGTTTGTTGTTTTCTTACCTTCTTTTTTAAAAAAATTGTATTATTAAAGATTTTCTTGGTTTACAAAAGTATGTGCAATGTCTCTCTCTCTCTTTTCTTCAAGTGACATTTTTAACAAATCAGTTTCATTTGTTGAGACATTGGGAAGAAAAGGGGGGGAAGAGGTGGAGGGGGGGAAAGGTGAGTGTTTTCTTACCTTCTGAGCCATTTTAACCTGTGTGAGTATTGGAGTTTTTCTCTTTTGTAGAGTTTTCTTTTAGGAAAGTCTGTGTGTGATTTTATGAAAGAAAAGAATAAGAAGAATAAGAATAATACATCTTAATATATTTTTAAAAAACTAGGCAGTATACAACATAAAACAGCAAACAGCATCCTTAAAACAATATAACATAAACCCACCAAAACATAAATATAAAAGCATTTAAAAAGAAATTTTTTTTAGGCAATTCATACAGATAAAGACAGGGCCTGATCTTATTGGTCAAGAAAAGACTGGGCAAACAGAGATTTATTTAAAAGGATGGGCATCCCATAGCACAGAAGCAACAGCAGAATATACCGTATTTTTTGCACCATAACACTCACTTTTTTCCTCCTAGAAAGTAAGGGGAAATGTCTGTGCGTGTTATGAAGGAAATGCCTATGGGTGGCATGCCTACGGATTTTCCTCCTCTAAAAACTACGTGCGTGTTATGGTCGGGTGCGTGTTATAGAGCGAAAAATACGGTACCCTTTTTGGGGTCACTGCCATCGGACGTTCTGTAGGGTACAGACCTATGAACAGAATTTCCCTAGATGTTCTAAATGATCTTACAGGGACCAACACTACCTCAAAGGTTTGTTGTTAGGCTTAAAACTCTGAGAAAGAAGGGGATGTAAATATAGCAACAAATCAGCTCAGGGGCTGAGTACCAAGGACAAATCCTGAACGGTGAACTGATTTGCATGCAGCACTAAGTCAAACTCTGGGACTAACTCTGGGAATAACACACATACAGAATAACACACATATGTTCTGTTAAAATATATAAGAACCTACCAAGGAATTAAACAAAGCCTGTCTGTTTAGGCTAGTTTTGCTATTATGGACTTTAGGCGAAATAACTCATTGATGGTAGTGGTGCTGATATTATTTTAGAAAAGACGATATATTTACATGAAATTGAAAATGCAAACCTGGATGCTTAATCAAATGTTTGAAAACGTGTTTCTTAATTTGCAAGCTACAAAAGCCCTTTGTGTTCCAGCACGTTAAACTCTTCAAAGCTAGATGGGATATCATCTTAACTCTGATGGGTTTGAAACATTCCCTGCCATCATTTAAGTGTAAACACAATTAAAAGCTTGCTACTTTAGCCAAATACCCCCAAACAAATACCTAAGACAATACTGATCACTTTCTCTTAAATGTGTGTTAGCAGCTCCCAGCGCCTACAACCTGAAAAAGGAAAAGCAATTTCAAGAGATAATTCCCAAGTTAAGCTTAACATGTTATTCAATAGCTTTCCCTAAGAACTTGATTCTATCTGTATAGATCCTTGTAAAGTCCTTTTGTTGCTCTTGTGTACATCAGTGCTAATCTTGTTTTCAAGTTTACAACATTCAGGCATACTGAAGAGACTTAAAGCTGACAGAAAGACAACTCTCTTCATCTGCAGCCTTGGGCCTGATTTAACTGCAGTGCTATATAAACAAGAGCTAAATTCTGCCATCCCGGCTTTGTGTTACCTTCCTTGCCCCCAAGACACAACTGGGGAAACTTGGCGTTCTCTGGCTCAATTTCAGCAATTGAAACACTTGTGAAACCCTTCATTCAATTGATATACAAAGTTGGCTGCTTTCATTTGCACAAGATCAAATCCAAAACACTAAGGAAGCAGATTTTGAAGATCTCAACTTGAAACATTTTAGGAAAATGTCTAGGGAGGTTTTAGAAGCTATTACAGGAGCAGCTGTATCTGTAGCTTTGCTCAGGAACTTCTCATCCTAATGCTAAATAGCAGGGACTGGAGAACAAAAACAGCAGCTAACCCATTTCTTAATATAAAGATCTGACCCAGTGCTCAAATGAGACCAAAGCATGAACCCTTTGTGGTCTTCTAAAAACAGTAGCTATGGTAAAGGTATAAAAAGATTA